TAGTAGCGTCCTTGCTCCTAGTAGCGATGCCAGGAGCCCCTAGTAGCGTCCTTGCTCCTAGTAGGGATGCCAGGAGCCCTTAGTAGCGTCCTTGCTCCTAGTAGCGATGCCAGGAGCCCCTAGTAGCGTCCTTGCTCCTAGTAGCGATGCCAGGAGCCCCTAGTAGCTTCTTGCTCCTAGTAGCGATGCCCTTTGTTAGTAGTAGCATCTCGGTGGAAGGCGCACCACCCAAGGTGACTCAGAATCTCCGTGTTTTGCTTTCGCGCGCCGCTGTGGAACGTGTGAGGGAGGAAGGTGGGGCCGTCAACGTGCCGAGGCTTAAGCTCTTACAAAAGATCGACAGCAGCGAGCATGCCACTGCTGCCAGGGAGCCCGGTGGTGTTTGGAGCTCGAGGTCTCCGGCCGGTTTGGAAACGTGGAGTGATCCGAAAACGCACCTCGAATGAGTTGACAGCCCGAATGAGTGTCAGAATGGCGAACCGACCAAATGTGGGGCTTTGCCTTGTACCCCACTGATATCCCACTAGTCGAAGGAGACATCCGGGACTTCAAGAACATCAGACATCCTCAAGTCTTGCCTTTTGCTTCTGTTGTGTTGCGTCCTGTTGTGATGAGAGGCGCCACAATGAACTCGGCTGTCATATGTGGATCGGTTTTCGGATGCCACCGTCTTTTGACCCATCGACAACTCCTTGTTTTGCATGCTCTGCATGCGCGGAACTCAGCGCGTCGTCGAGGTCATCAATGAGGTCTACTTCCTGTTTGGGGCCTCAGAGTGGGTGACGATCGGTGACCGGTTGGAGTCGGCCTGGAAGGTCCTCTTTCGCAAACAAAAAACAAGGATGCACATGCTTTTATATAGAGATCACGATCTTGTCTTATTCCCCAAACAGGTTGCTAACAAGCAGACATGCTTGTTTTCTGATGGTCTCGGCTTTTTGTGGCGAGCAAATGAGAGTTTCAGACCAGCTCTGCAGACTTTCTGTGTTTTGTCTTGAACCATGGTTTCTGTCGGCTGGATCGCTGGTCGAACTGGGTGGCCCATGGTGGTGTGTTCTTCCTCTCGTCTCAATTGAACTCTCCAGTGTCGAAATCAGAGTCGGACTGTTTCACCCAACGCCGAGTACTAAACGGATCCTTGTCATTACGAAGGGACCCGCTAGAAAGAACGCAGCCATTTATACACCCAAAAAAATCAGTGTTGATACTTTGGCGGTTTAGTTTTGGACATATTGTCCGTCAGGGGCCCCGTCCAGAAACAAAAGGTCTGACATGACTGCGGTTGCTTTGGGTCTTGGCCAGTTCTGCGCTTCTCCGGTGTGACTGAGGTCCCTTTGCGGACGACATCCCAATATCACAAGCCTGCATGGCCGGGCCAAAGAGTTGATGGACGAACGAATCGAACATGGCGGAAGGTTGCGGGTAGGCAGTGAAACCAGAGTGTTTCGAAAAGGCTATACTATTAAATCATTAGCCGAGCCAGTTCGCTACTGGGTTCGGGTTGGATCTTTTGTTGGAATCTCAGCCAGACTCAGCCAGACTCTCAGTTGGATGGGGTTCCGTTGGCAGACGAAAGGAACAGCATCATCGAAAGGTGTCGCTTGCGTCGGATGATCTGATCTTGCCACTTCCACCCAACGTTTCGTTCAGCCAAACTAGAGATGTTCGACCAGTCGGCCCACAGCGACACCATCCCAGGTCCCCTCACCCGCTTTCCGCTAAGCCGCTTCCCTGCGGCGGGTGGTGTCTATGGCTGAAGAGAATTGCGACGCCAAAGTATTGAAGGAATTAAACCACAAACGAGGTCGTGGTTTAATTTGACCACATATCTATCCTTTTGGCCAAGCCAACTTGGGGAGCTTGAATTAAGCTGCCTCTCTGGGAGGCACGTGGTTAGCTCCACAGCGCTACAAGACTGCCGGGGGCGATTGGGGGGGGCAGCGGTCCTTTCCTCCAAAAAACATGGCAAGAACTGGAAAGAGTCGGCGACAGTCAAGAAGATTTGCCAGTGGTCCTGACTGCTAAAGCGGTCACAAAAGCATTCACAAATACACAAAAGGATGTGAAATCTTTGGGCGCCACGAAACTAACCCTCACCCGGGCGTCGACCCAATCATGGGAGATGAAGTGAAGTGCCAGTGCACCCAAATCGCCGCTCACGGCTTCAACACAACCTTTCCCAGTGACTTAGTGAAAAAGGTACCGTTGGGTCATGCAATATTGAGAAATCAGTGACAGGAGTGGAAATCGTTCCTTTAAAAGTGTCATGAGTCATGACGTTCTGAAGCATGGTTCAGGCGCAATTGAAGGCTTGGAGGGAATCCATGGCGTCAAGCATTATCAGTGATCTGTAGAGTCCTTCCTTCCATTTGCACGTGTTGAAATCATCTCTTTGCTTTTCCTTTGTTTCATGTTGCGATTCCCAGCAGTAGGAGCCATAGGAGCCACTACTTCCTGATTTTGGATGAATTTCAATAAACTTCCTGTTTAGATTCTACTAGCGATCGCCTCCACCCTACTAGCGAGCGCCTCCAACCTACAAGCGATGGCCTCCAACCTAGTAGCGAAGGCCAATGAACTTCCTGTTTAGATTCCTCTCCCTTCTCGCAGGACGGTTTGGATTTTGAGCATGGAGAGATACAGCAACGGCCGGCTCTCGGACTACATCGATATGTGCCTGGGCCAAGAGTGTTTGGTCAATATCATCACCAGTGGCACAGAGCAGACACGTGCTTGTCCAGCCACAACACGGAATGCACATTGTTTAGTGTCTAAACGTTGTTTTTGCACTCTGACACTGGACATACACCAAGCTAGTGTGAAGGTAGAAGAACCCGGAAACCATGAATCACGGAGCAAGAAATTGGTGGTTTGCCTTGCTTGCTTGTCCACCAAATCCATTTGTATAGCCTCATCGGCTGGGTGCAAGAAAAAGGAAAATAGAAATAGGCTGTGGTGCAAGAAACAGCACTAATTACAAGGGCTAGTAGCATCCTTGCTCCTAGTAGTAAGGCCAGGAGCCCCCAGTAGCGTCCTGGGCCTTCTTTCTTGGAAACAATCATCAAGTTCAGCATCCCTTGTCCAGTTCGCGCGCTTGTGAAAAACTGTTTTGGCCTGCAGGCATGGTCCCTTCCTGCTGGCACGGGGTGACGTGCTCGCGATTTGCTTACTCTCCGCCGTGGCCTTCTTGCACAGCAAGAAGATCCTCCACAGGCCGCAACACTTGGAGTTCTTTGCAAGTGAGGGCCAAACCAGAGAGGTAATTGGCAGATTCAAACCAAGATCAAGGCTGTTTAGCCAAGGCTTCTCAAAGATGTTTCACCGCACCACGAAGAGTCGGTCAGTAGTTTTGCTAACCTGCATTCCATCGGGTCTGCATTCCACCGCAGAGTTTGCCATCAACATTTGTAGGCTTTTCTGTGCCAGGTTTGTATTGACAGAACCCTTTTGGAACTGCTAGGTCAGCAAGGTCAATCCTGGCCCAGCTAAGAGATGGTTACCGCATGTTCCCGCTTTTCTGGCGCTCAAAAGACCTCTTTTCGACCTTTGCCCGATGTTTTGGTCGCGCCACGCAGGGACATTCGCCCAGAGAAGATCCTCTTGAATGATGCTTTGGAACCTATTTTGGTCGATCTAGGCACAGCGTAGGGCCAGCTGCCGAGGTGTCTTCAGCCACGATTCCAGAGATTCCGCCGAAACCACCCAGAGATTCCCTCTGGTGCTTTGTGTTGACACGTAAGATACCCAACTGCACCGATGTTTGCACCCAAACACATGTAATCAAATGTATATAAATGTATTATAATGTATTATATGTAAAATATACAGCATTGATATTTATTTGATATAGAGATACATTAAGTTTGGTCGCTAGTATCGTTGGAAAGTGGTCTTCTTGATCTCAATTCCGACAGCCAGAGTGCAACCAGCCGGGACTTGACCGAACAACCGAAGTTCCTCCGTCGTCGTTGTTTTCTTAGCAACGCCCACACAAACGCATGCAGAAGGTTGCTCCTACCCAGCCAACAGTGAATGCTTTGGCAAAACTATGGAGATCAAACTCATTTGTCGGCATGGGCAGTCGATTCTCTTCAATCAAAAGCATCATTGTCACAACAATGGTGTCAAGAGTGTGTGGAAAAATGTGAAATATGTATTTCCAAAGCTTCAACCATGCTCACAAATTCCAACACACATTTAAAACAAGATATTCTTCAAACAAGCTTCGGGATGGTTCAACAGTGCAGTGTAGGACCTAAACGAATCACCAGCTCCAAGAGGCCGCTGGCCAGGAGCTACATTCGTAGCGTCCTTGCTCCTAGTAGCGATGCCCTTTGCTCCTAGTAGCTTCTTGTTCAGCAAGCTAGAACATTCAGACGATTCGGATCTTCATGTTGAAAGACCACAAGATAGATCGACACGTCTCTCGAGCTTTGCAAGCCTTTGAAAGACATATCACTCTCTCATCAGGATGTCAGATCCCCACAACAAGCTCCAATCTGGTCATAAGCTACAAGAAATCCAATGACTGTGAACATTAAACCCGCCAACCACCTCACGCCCTTGTGCACACACCCACACCTGTGGCGTATGTCCGGCATATTGGCTCAAAAAGGGTCCCAGAAAACGACCCTCTCCCCGATCTGGGGGTGGGGGGGGGGAAGTCACTGAGGCAGGTTTAGAGACATTGCAGACAGAGGCGCAGTTGGTGAACCTAGTTGCGGCCTCCAACCTACGAGCGATGGGTAGAGACAGTGCATTTCTGCAACATATCATAGTCAAGTGCAAGGAAACAAGGCAGCGACGCGTTCTTCGTGCCACCGCATCCGGTCTAGTGCTTTTGTGGTGCGGAGTGATGCAAAGCACCCTAAACAAGGCGGGCATTCGCATGGGCATGGGGGTTTCACGCTGCTCGGTTTTTTCTTTTGTCGATGGAATCGGTCGCTTTGGTCGAAGGTTTAGCAACTTTGTTTTGTATTCCAGTCATGTTGTTTTTCCTAATAGAGTGGCTGCTCGATTCAGATGTTGTTCTGGAAGGTGACAGGTACACTACTGGTATCTACTGGTCATTCAGATTATTTCAGATATCAAGACAAGACCTTAAATGATCTTCAGCGCCGCCCTAGCCTAAGGAAGACCGAGAAACCAGCCAAGGGATCATCCAGCAACGGATCATCCATCGGGATTGAGATTGAGGGACCAGACAGGTGAATGGGATGAAACCTCTTAGGTTGGAGGCCATCGCTACTAGTAGCTTCAAAGACCTAGTAGCGTCCTTTCCTAGTAGCGATGCCCTTGTTACTACTAGCGTCCTTGTTACTACTAGTAAGGCACTTGTTCCTAGTAGCGATGCACTTGTTCTTAATAGCTTCTTGTTTCTAATAGCGTGGCACTTATTACTACTAGCGTGGCACTTGTTACTAGTAGCTTCTTGTTACTACTAGTAAGGCACTTGTTACTACTAGCGTGGCACTTATTACTAGCTTCAAAGACCGTTCCTAGATGTTCCTAGTATCTTTTTTGCTACAGGTGAAACGATTCCCAAGGACGCTTCTAGCTCCTAGTAGCGTCCTTGGTACACATGAAACATAATGAAACACTTGTAGCTTCTAGTAGCTTCTTGTTCCTAGCCCCTAGTAGCGCTCCTAGTAGCGATGCCCTTTGCTCCTAGTACCGTCCTTGCTCCTAGTAGTAAGGCCAGGAGCCCCTAGTAGCGTTCTTGCTCCTAGTAGCGATGCCCTTTGCTCCTAGTAGCGTCCTTGCTCCTAGTAGTAAGGCCAGGAGCCCCTAGTAGCGTTCTTGCTCCTAGTAGCGATGCCCTTTGCTCCTAGTAGCGTCCTTGTTTCTAGGTGAACGGGATTTTTCCTCGATCTCTTTAGGAGCCGACGGAGCTGGGTGTGCCGGGCGACACCGTACCCCATCGCGAGCTCCGCGTGGGCGTGTGACTCGGGCTTGAGATGTGACTGGCTGCTCCGTGGGATGTGACTGGGTGTTTCATTACTAGTAACAAGGGCATCGCTACTAGGAGCAAAGGGCATCGCTACTAGGAGCAAAGACGCTACTAGGGGCTCCTGGCCTTACTACTAAGAACAAGAAGCTACTAGAAGCTACAAGTGTTTCATTATGTTTCATGTGTACCAAGGACGCTACTAGGAGCTAGAAGCGTCCTTGGGAATCGTTTCTCTGGGAATCGTTTCACCTGTAGTAACAAGAAGCTACTAGTTGGATTTGATGAACAAACGTTTCGGGATTGCATCCAGAATCTAAGAAATCTGTGCATGGGTTCCCTGGCCTACCGTCAGACATATTTGGAATGTGAAAAATCAGCGGACGCTAACCTAGCTGGTGAACACATTGTCACCATCTATAGGTTGTATTGGTTTTATTGTGTGTGGCTCTATTCTGCTAGTACCAAAGGGCATCGCTATATACTAGGAGCAAGAAGCAATAACAAGGTGCATCGCTAACAGGCATCGTATCTGGTGCCTTCGATGTTCAGAGCACCTAGGGGGTCCTCCGTAGGCGACTGGTTAGCTAGCTTTAGACCTTTAGACCCCTCTATGTTCGGTGAATATGAGCTTTTGACAAAACAAACTCGTTTAAACACCTTTAGACCATTCTGTTTTCTTTGGACTGTTTTTTCTTTTTTTTTGGTTTTGGGGCCTTTAAACCTTTGTTTGTTTCTTTACACTTTATTTGTAGCCTTCACCTTGCGACTCCCCACAAGGTGGACGACATTGACATAAATCCCCAAGTAGAGACCCTGTCCAACGCCAGAAAATCTTATCCCGGCAAGAGACCCCAAACAGTGTGTGAGGTCTAGAGGTGTAGCAGCAGAAAGTCTAGAGATCTAGTGAGTGTGAGTGCGAGTGCGAGTGTGAGTTAGTGTGCGAGTGAGTATCCGAGAGCACGCGTCAGATAGCACAGAATGCGTTCTGGAGGTCTTGAGGTTGAGAGCGTCGAGGTGCACAAAGTGCTGCGCCTGCCGTGAAATCTGCACATGGAGGTTGACAAAGTGCTGCACCTGCCACGAAGCCTGCGCTTTGAGGTTCACAAAATGCTGCACCTGCCACGAAATCAGCAGCTTGAGGTTTTCAAAGTGCTGCCCGTGCTACGAAATCTGCACTTCAAGATTCACATGCGGCAGCCCTGCCAAAGCGTTTTGCCGCAAGAGCGCTTAATTCCAAAGATAACATCAAGACACCAAAATGCTCCAATTATTGAAAACGAGCCACATGTAGAAAAGTCACGATTCACTGCACCTGTCACAAAATTAGAGCGCCTCCTAGATCTCCACCATGTCCAAAGTGCTGCCGCGAAATCTGCATTTCGAAGTAACGCCGCTCCGATCCCTTGCGCGTGTCACGAAAAGTCGATTTTGGACCACCAAAACATGAGTTTTCCCATGCGCCTGCCACGAAAAGTGACCACCATGTCCGAAAATGTGCACGTCGCCACAACCAGAGCGCAGTCGCGAGAAGCGCCCGCCGTGGACACCCAGATTCTGCGACCCTGCGCAGTCGAAATGCACTTCGAGGACTTCAAGAGGCATGAATGTACTGTAAATAGCAGCGAATTAGACATGGGGTTCCCGACATTGACACGCTGTTCCGCAAAACCGCACAGGGTACCCAGTGTCATGAAGCCGAGGCTCTCCTTGGTCTTGCTGGCGGCTATTGTGGCTGCGGAGCCTACAGCTCTTCTAGACCCTTGGGACGGCGATTGTAACAAGGACGCTACTATTAGCTCCAAGAATCTCGAGTCGGTCTCAGTCGTTCGTGAAAAGAACCACAAATTTTGTGCACCATATCACTGCGCCCAGACACATTCTTCATGTGTAATGTCTAGGAATATTATGTATTTTAAATTATTCATTGTCCTCAATCATAGGGGCCAGACATCTTGGCATCGCCGGCCTCCAAGGAACTGTTGATTCTCTCCAGTATTTGTGTGACGTGGACGATTTTTGCAGGACGGCGTAGCACGACGTGGACCGGACGACGTGGACAATCTTCCATCTCAATGGCACGTGTTGTCCGGTTGGATTGATTGTCCTTTTCATACTCCGACAGAGTGCACTGGCATAGAGACGGAAAGTAGCAGCCTTTGTGCTGTTTGTCTGGGAGAGTCAAGAGCAGGGAACACGGACTCATCAGTGTCATCGAGAACTCACTCGATGAGTCAACAGTTGGCCCTCCACAGTGAACTGACACATCAGAGCTGCAGGGCGAAGAACTTTCAGCCTTTCTACTTCCAATTGACATTCATTGCTTTACATGTAGGTTGGAGGC